GCTCGTCGATAGGCAATTGCACGGAGGCGACGCGACGCCTCGCGTCGTGGCATCCCTCGCGGTTCGGAATCGCGAGAAAATGTCGTCCGTTCGTGGTAAACTTTTAGTCATCATGGTCGAAGAATCGAACGGGGTTGCTGATCTCTCGCGATGACTATGTCGGAGATGTCGAGATGTCACGAAGGAGTTTTGGGGTTAGTACAGTTAGGCTCTTTGGATGTTTCAGGGAGCAACGCGAAGGTATCTTCTCCTGTCTTCCGTTTCAATTTTATCTTCTGCTCGATCGAAGTCATAAGAGGTTGGAGAAAATGGCAGAAAGTTTCAATCGAAGAGAGGAGTGCGATTGCACGGCGGGTCGCTGGCTTCTGGAAGTTTGTCACTGTTTGAGCTTTTTTATCAAGGGAGGGAAGGAGATATGAGCTGTCCCAGTTGTGCGATTCAACCGGTATTGTACCATGGGTGATGGTTTAAAGTGGTCTCCGAACACTTATGCGGTTCCCTTTATTTTCAAGTTACGATGGCTTTTGTCTTAAACGAAGTACCTTCGCCAGGAGGTGAAATTGCAACGGAAACTTTCCTCCCTGATTCATGGGATTTTTACGTCGGCTCTAGGAAATTCTGATAAAAACGCCGCGAACTTCTTCGCTCGGAATTATCTCGTAAAAAGGTACTCGAAAATCCTCATTGGAGAAGAAACAAACGGCGTCGAAACAATACAGAGGCAAACAAAGAAGCCTGAAATTGGAGGTCGCCGCGCGGCAGGCTGCTTCCCGAATAATTTAACGCTGTAACAATGGAAATCGCGGATCCATGCCATGAATTTGTCCCGATTGTTATTACGACGGAGTACGGGGGCGTCGTTACATCGTGTCTTCGCTTGTTACCACTCGGTAATACCATGGAGATCCATTTCCATCTAGAGCGCGTTGGGCCGCGTTATTTTAAGCACCGTAGCTCTTGCACCCTCTCTTCGGTGTCGTCCCTTCGTTTCTATGGTGATTCGAAGAGGGGTAGTATCCCCTGTAGATCGAGCGAGCGTCGCAGGTTGATTGTAGGTACCCGTATAGTCCTCTCGGCAAACACAGGATCATCTATCGGAATAGGGGGTCGCTCCTCTCTCCAACGAGACAATCATTTCGCTAGTGATTATTGAAGTAACGTCGGGGTGCTGTCTGGGAGTTACATTTTCCTAAAGATATCGGGGTACGACGCGGTATGCAAAGGCACCTCCGAGAGTGGTAAAACACGCGTATTTATTGTTTCGAGCCTTCGCGTTTCTTTTGATGTTTTCGATTCGTTGATGAGGAACTCGCGAGAATTCCAAGCATGGTTCTCTCTGCGAGAAGAGAGCGAATCGTTCTCGAACTTCGACTCTTTGCAGTACAGGATTTCACATAATAAAATAGACCCACGTTGCATAGAAATTTTATCGCATTTTAAACGAAACAAAATTGGTATATTTAAAGACGTAATAATAATTTAATTGAATTTGTTGTTATAGGGTGGGACTCAAATAGTTCCAGCATCCCATGTTGAATGTTGCCAACACAAGCGAATATATTTATGCTTTACGTAAATAAAACGAAATATAAACCTATGGGCATGCAGTTATTGCAATATTTCCAGGTGGGACTAAAAATGTCCCATCATGCATTACGGTGCATCAAAAAGGTGGGACACTTTTAATCCCAGCGTGCCCCAAAGAGTTGACATTAAACTTACCATGGTGTAAATCACCGTTTTCCAAACTTTCATTAGAAATTCAGTGTTCAACGTTTTCACCTCGATCACTCATCTTCGCCATTTTTTTTCCAATATACGTATAATAATTTTCTCAATGTTTCTCGTTATTCTATTTTTCAAGGCTTCTGGTTCCTTTCCATTCACCGGTTATTCGACCACGGTAGGTTTAGCGTTAAGATGATATTTTCTAGGCTGTTATCGCAGGTTCAATTTCGACTTAGGAAATTGCGAGGATTTTTTCCCATTTCTCGCAGCTATCACACGGAGCTTTCCGGTTCATCCTGATACGTGCAAAGAAGGCAAGGTTAGCATAGAGTGACTGCGTGTTTACTTACGTCTCCTCGTCACTTCCTCCTCGACGTGTATTTACTCGGCTTCTAAACGTCCGCTCCACTTGTTTAGTGAGATCACATTCGCGCTGTACCGAAAATACAGCTGCACCTTCGTTCCTTCGGCGAAGCTTTCGCGTTCTCGGAGCTCCCGTCAATTTCACATATCCCTGCTCTTGTGATGTGACTTTAATCGTTCAGCAGCGTGGTTTACGCGTCCAGACAACGGACCAAGCCACGCACTATGATCTCGGTGTTTCCGCGAATCCTCGTTAACGTCGTCGCAGTGATTAACTTCGTTCCGAGCTCTCGAGAAAAGTAGAGAAGAAAGATGGAAGCAAAGAAGAAGAAGAAGAAGAAGAAGAAGAAGAAGAAGAAGAAGAAGAATAAGAAGTAGAAGAAGAAGAAGAGAAGAAAAGGTTTCGAAGCTTCAGAAAATCTTCCCGGCGGTCTTCTTGCCACCTATTTTTGAACATGGCCGTCCTTTGAACACCCACCGCTTTAAATACTCATCGTTAATCAAAGAAACGGAAAATCGTGACTCGTTTGGTCGTAAAGATATTTGTAGAACGATTTTTATAGCTTTCTTGAAGTTCCTCAGACGTTTCCTTTCGTAGCTTAATCTTATCGTCTCCTAGTCGTGTTCGGTACTTCGTTTCAGCCGGTGTTGATTCTCGCATAATGCAGAGATTACAAAAGTTCGGGAGGTTTATTATTATATTCCGGGATGAATGAGATAATCCCGATTTTAAACTACGGAAGCTGCCATATTAGTTCGATAATCTCACGGAAATATTAGTTAGGTGTTTCTACGTTCTTCTGTTTCTTTTGCAACTCTATCAACGGAATAATTACTATCTCCCGATTCAGTCACGACGGATCAACGTCTCTCTCGATCACGCGAAACGAGTCGCCATAACAATCCTAGCCTACGATCTTCCGCGACAGGGTAGACTCTCGTGGTCTCCCGTTTGGCATTTTTCGTTGCACCCGATGCAGAGGACAGACGGATCCTGGCGGAATTCCAAGAGTATAAATTGTCGGGATCTCGTCGTGTCTCCGATACTTTGCTCCAGAACTTGCCTGTCCCCGTCATCCTGTTCGCGGTGGTGCTGGCCGTGGCTCCAGACGAAACGGATTTCGCAACGATCCATCTTCGATCGAGGCTGCGTTTCGATCGTCCTCCGGTCTCGTGTTGCTTCCAGCCGGGATATTGCGTAACGATAGGGAAAGGAATAGGCGTAATGAAAGACGTGAAAGTTTCGACGGTGCTCCGATGCAGAGGTGCACGGTCGCCTGTGCATGGAATCAAAGGTTGGAGGTGGGAAAATGTGATTCACGAGACGATTCCGCGAATACGCACGTGCATTGTGAAAATGTTTGCAAACGAGAGGAGCGGGAAGATAAGCATTAGATCGGGTTTGCTATTCTTGTTTGAGTAAGCGAGGTGGAACAGCTTGCGTCGAGAAGGTATGTTCCTCGTTGTGACACAATGGCTGTGAAATATGGGGGAATTTAGTCGCAATGATGCGGCGCGAGTCTGGTTTATTCAGCAAATGCCGCGTTAAGGATATCGATGCGCCGTTCTTTGCAATTTTAATCTTAAACTTGCAAGAGAAATGTGTCGAAAAACAATGGCGTCTGGCCGCGAGATAGGATTGCGCTCGCAGCGATAATTTCGCGAAGGGTCAGCGGGTAATCTCGAATAACACGAGCTTTCCTCCGAATCGGAATCCGTTCTATACTGTTCGATAATGGTTTCATTTCCTTGTATCTCTCTGCTGCATACTAATATATGCGTAATAACGGCGCGCCATGGGCGCAATAACGGACCTCCCATATTATATGTGCGCTGAGAGCACGAGGGTTCATCGGATCACGAACCTTTGATCAATTTTCGCGGCAAACTGTGGAGGAACCGTCGATTACGAGAAACGTCAAGAGACGAGGCGTTGCGATGGAAGGTATGAAACAGGGAAAGAAATTTATGGGAAGAATCGGTTGCGATATTGTTAATTACACGGTATTTGCAGTAATGTTCGATCAATGAAAATCGTACGAGTCTATTTTAATGGCGAAAGTCGTAACACGCGTGTGTTTAAAGAGAAAGCAATCGGCGAATGGAAACATTTCCCGTAGCCGTGTTTAAATTTACTTTGCTAATTATTTCATGTTATTGGGGTGCATTTGTTATTTGTCAAAGCGAAATGGCGCGTGGAGACCTTTACGCTTCGAGACCAATTAAAGAGCGAAGAACAATTGATTTACTTCTATATAAAAGCATATACACGCTGCTGCAACATCTGCAGTCTGCGCGCAAGGTACTGACATTTCGCAAGCGCTGACAGAAAAGGCGACGAAAAGGCAATCGCGATGCGAAGAGTTAGTCACGCGCAGCTATAAAAATGGAAAATATTCGCGACAGATACTGAATCATTGTAAGCGCGCGATGCTGCACAGAGTGTCGTAAAAAGCAGTAAAAATGATAGCAAGATAACGGAGTAGGAAAAACAAAAGATAAAGAAAAGAATCGCGTTATAAATAATCGTGCATAAATTCGACTTAATTTCCATTTAACGATCGCATCTTTTACGAAGCTATAGCTGGACGTACGGTAATTGTATGCGAATAAAATGGGAAAAAGTAAATCGCTGATATAAATCTTATGTCATATTGTAGCAGCCACGGGGCAATGGCGACGTAGCACGGTAGTAAATGTAACGAACGTTTGCGGTAAATGAAACGTTTTATATTTCCATAAATTTCGCGTTCGATGTAGGAGCTACGCGATCAAAGCGGAGGCATTTTGTGCGCCTCGATAGTTTGATTCGCGTAGTGCGAAAGATGGCCGATGCGCGGCGCTGGATGCGCAGTGACGCTGCGCGCCGATGGCGCCGGCTAGGAGCGGGACCGTCAGTCGCAGAGGGACCACGCACGGTGGCGGTCGTGAGTTGTCACAAGAGAAAGAGAACGTGCAATTGGACGAAAGGAGCTGAAGAAAGACAGTCAGGCAGAAAGATAGAGAGGTTTAGAGGAAACAGAAGGAAGAGAAGAAACGGGAAAGCAAAGGTAGCGTTCGCGGGCGTTCGTGGTCACCGAGTTCGCGGGTCCCGCTCAGTCGTGTGCGCGTGAAAGAGTTTTAACCTCCGTCGTTCGATTATCGTGCGTCGTCTCGGTTCGTTCTGGTGCGTGTGGGTCGGCGCGCGCGCGCCTGTGTCCGTGTGTGCGTGAAAAACACCGCACCGTCTCTCGTTGCGCGTTTGTGTGTTACATACGTCGGTAGATATATACAAATATACGTGCGTCGGAAAGAGAGTAGCGCCGGGTCGCGTACAGTGTGCACGAAAGTAAGAGAGAGAGAGATAGAGCGAGAGAAAGAGAACGGGAAGGGACAACCGGGCTGAGGAGGAGGAGTGGCGGGCGAGGAGGGGGAGGAGGTACGGAGTGTTGGATTTGTTTTCTCGCACAACGGTGGAGCAAAACGGCCTCAAACTGTGGGGCTCTGGGGCGTTTTTTCTTCCTCCGCAAGGGATGTACTACCCCGTAAGTGACTGTTTCATTTTTTATGAATTCCGTGCGTTCACCGGGAGGCTAGGACGACTAACCAGAGAGAGGGAGGCGTCTGTTTCCCTCACTCTCTACCCTCTCTTTGCTGGAAATGTTCGAAGGCGTCGGTTCGATATGAGGCGCCAGGTCGTGGGATTGTGCTTTGTTTCTATTTTCAACCTCTGTAAACGATTCAATATCATGCTCGGCTCGATCGGGGACGCATATTTGACCCTTGCTCGTGACGAAAGACGTATGGAAAATAGTAGAATACAAGCGTACAGTGTTGTGCTTCGATATGCATTGTTTTGTTTTTTTTTTTCCTCTACCGAGCCAATCTTTATAAATTATTCCTTCCTACGAATACGTCGTTCGTTCGTGTTTCACCGCGGAGTGTGTTCGACGTTTCTAGTGGTCGCGACGTGTGCTCGAATATTTCGCTCGATACGGCTGAATTGGAGGTTATGTTCGCTACCGCCGGGAGACTGCGAACGAGAGAGAGAGAGAGGAAACCTCGGTGCGCGAAAAGAGTCGGCGGAGCGATCGTTTCGGTAATCTGTGGCAAAGAGAATCGCCTTGACCGTCGTGCTGCGGGCGAAATACGAGTTTCCGAGAATTGTGCGTGCTTATTTACCGCGTTAAGCGAGACTTCTGCGAAAGAGAGGTTAGGACAGTCGGCGAGAAGGACACAGGCAGGGGGCACTCCGAAGTGAAAGTAAATACGTTGCTCGCTATCTCTGCTCGATATGCCATTAGTTTCTCAAATACCGCGTACCGATGTCCATAGCGCGTCCATTATAAATTAATAATTTTGCTCGCTGTGCAACAGTGTACTCCAATTGCGAAACTCTTACGTACCGACTAAATATATATCGTGCGCTGGTAAACAAATAATCGATGGAATTCCCTTTCCATTATTACTCGTATCGCGCAGTGTAGAATATTACGAACGATTATCGGACCAATCGTTGGCGTTCTTTCGTCCCGTTAGTTTCGTGAAATCGGAGCAGGTATCACTGCTGCGCGTATTTACCGACCCAGGTAGGTTGTAAACCGTAGGGACAGGGCTTTCCCGAATCGAATCGTCTCTCACAGTTCCTTTCTTCGCGGCATGGTAGGCACCGACGGATTGTGTTTCGCGCACAATAAACCTGACCTGTTTCTTTCGTCCCTACGCGACCTTATGTACCTCGCAGCGCAACGCTCGCTTTTATACCGCGATTCACAAAATCCAGCCGGCTTTCGCGTGATTTATCGCTTCCTTTATTGTCGCGCACATCAGCTGGCCCGTTCGGACCGGCCATTCTAGGTTTCGATCGAGAAGTCGAATTACGTTTCGTGAACTCGTGCGCGGCGTAGGTTTCATAGGCGACGCACGTGCGTCGCGGCGCGAAACCTTCGTGTCTTGGACTTCTGTGGCACGTCACGATCAACAGAAGACGTGCCATATTTTTGCGCGCGTTCGAAGCATTCGAGCTGCTTGATTCTCAGCGAATGTGTCGCGTAATTAACATTGATATGCGTATCGCGTTACATACCATTTGCGTAGCATTTTTCTTGCTTTCAGCGCGGTGCACGAACGTTATCTCTGGCAGTTCACCTCTATGCTAATTTTAAAATTTGGAAATTAAGGATATCTCGTATCTTTCTATTTCGGATTTGAAATTCGTACGTTATCGAGAAAATTACGAGGCTATCCTGCAAAAATATCCTGTAATTACACAATTTATGTATAGAGACTTATTTCGTAATATATGTCACCGTTTTGATATATACATGTAAATATAAAGCGTGATACGCAGCGAAGCAACAGTGTAATTATAAATTTTATTTTAAAGCACACACTCGTATTTATATTCAGTCGTATTATATAAAATATAATACAAATTCGAAATAGTGATTCATATTTATATTCCGAGAAATTATATACGTCACGATATAAATTCGATATAAATATAAATTCGAAACAAACATTTACATTTATATTCAAATACGTTATATTGCATTATAGTCCTGCATATCACGCTCTTATTGAAAAATCGGGCGAAAAGATAATTTAATCTTTCGATTAAATTTAATTGAGAATGTTAAATATCGAACGTCGAGCAGCGCGTATACGTATGTAGCAACAAATCTCCTCCATTTTGTCCCGATATCCGAGAGAAACTTCGCTACTATCGATACGCGTCAATGGAAAAAAGCCGGGAATATTACGCGCGACGCGAAAATTGTTTAACGGTATTTCAATTCAAATTCGAAGTCTACTGCATAGATTCATGAGCAACAATTCGACTCACCGGTGGACGCCGAGTTTGCGAGAACTGCGCCGTCACTGTAAACTCTGCGCGCGTAAACGCGACATGCATTAACAAATAATCTGCTTCCGACTTGCCCGTTCCGTTCTTTCCGCGAGAAGTGTTCTGAGATTTTCTGTGCACATGTTAGAGAAGAGCTGGGAAGAAAGAGCGAGGAACAAAGGACGGTTAGAGCATAGAAAAGGCGATTTGCCGTGGCGCAGGTAGAAAGAAACGGTTCACTAGGCACGGACGAGATGGGATGATCGGTTTCACCGATTTGCGTGTACTTTCTTACGAAAAATTCGAGTTTTCCTGTTAATTTCCAGTTTTCCATATAACGTGTTCCAGCTTTTCGTTCGCCCAGTGCCGGCGAGGAAAGGGTGAACGAAGCTGGTTCGCAGCGAGGACTGGCTGGACGAAAAAATTTCAGAGCAGATTACAGCGTCACGAGCTGCGGCATTATCCGTGGACGTTAATCCGCTGGCATTACCACTGCCAATTCCGCGAGAATAAATAAAAGGGATGGAAAAGAGAGAAACGCGGGGAAAGAGGGTGGAACAGAGGGAGAGAGAAAAAATACGTGGCACGGTCACGTTCCGTCGACTTTTCAGGAAAAGAGTCGCTTTTTGGGTCAAGCGTCCGAGCCACCCCCGCGTCACCCCTTTCCGGTTTTAATATTATTTCCCGAGGAACCGGCGGCCAATGAGGCTCGAACCGAGCCGAAGTGGACGAGCGAACGTCATCCCCGAAGCACTCGTGTTGTCGACGTTGATCCAACTCTCGCTAATTTTTTTTCCATTCCTTTCTTCTTTTTCCTTTTTTTTTTTTTTTTATTTTTCGTGTCTACCCCTGCGACGTGTCCCTCTTGTTTCCGTCGATCCCTCGGCGAAGAGGTTTCCTCCGCCTCGGCGACGTGTATTTTGAAATATAGGGCAGGGTGGGCTATTTCCAGCCCCCGGTGTATCGGTACTTTATTTCGAGGCGAGTAGATCGATTATTCCCATCGGCTGGCCCCTAAGCCACACGCGGCCCGACGTCTGTCCCCGATGCTAATTTCCTTCTTATCCGTTGCGATCCTCGCTCATTTTTATTCTCGGTCGTGGATCTTCTTTGCGGATAAGATGGCTGCACCCTTTCAGCTAAGATTTAATTATGGAAGATGGCACGTTGATGTTTAATTTTAGTTCAATCGTTGTGCGTATGCAAGGTGCGACAAAATGAGAGCATCCATGATTTTCAACGGTAAATCGAATTTGATTTTGCAGGGGAAGGTATGTGGTATTTATTGAAGCAGTTGGTAAAGGTGTTGGGGAGAATTATTATTTTTGGAGTATAGTTAGTTGCGAATTATAATAAGCCTTTTTGCTGTCAGAGTATTTCTTCGCTTAAATTACACTCGTTATTGTAACCCAAGATATTCGGTATTTTGTCTTCTTTAATTTGCCTGAAGATCTGGCAACCATTTTGGAATTACGGGGCACAGCGAACTCTTTATTGTTAAAAGTTCTCCAAGGCGGCTGGAAATTCATGGACGTCCGGACCGGACGTTTCTCTTTCACCGGAAGAGACGCCTTAAATATCAGTCAGTTTCACCTGTTCGGTTGCCGGCGGGTGAGGCGGATATTTCAAACGGATAAGACGGTAATTCATTAAGTAGTTGCATAAATTCTTGCCTTTATTGCGCGTAATTTAGCTTCTGCCCGGAGCAAGGCAACATCGCAGGGAAAGCGGAAAAAGGAAAAAGACAGCGGGGAACGGGGGGGAAAAAATGGAACGCAGGGAAGAAAAGAGGCGTGTAATATAAGCTGGCGTTGCGAAAAATAAAACGGCTCCTCTGAATTCTAGGAATTTACGTTGCTCTTC